TATGTGAAATAAAATTTTTTGTGACACCCATAATGGCGGGAAAACTGTCTAAAATATGGCTAAAATTAAATAACTTCGTGACGTAATATTATTTTTCCCCTTATATTAGTTTTCCCTCGTTCAAATTTTGTAGGTTGAGGCATTATAATAGTTTATTGAGGTTGAAAGATGGATTTTTAATTTAAGAACGTATTATTACTTATGAATTATTGAAAATATGCTTGAAGTGCTATATGATTTGACAAAATATTTTATAAAAAAAAAAATTGGACAGAAATTTTTAAAATCCTATCTGTTGACTGAAATTCTGCAGTATTCTAAATATACGTCTTTTGAATGTTCAAAAGTCGTCCAAAGCGTTTAATAGACGTTCAAAACGTATAAAATGATGTTTAAAAGACGTCTACTTTATGTCAAAGGCCCACTAGGAGTACTCATTCAAGGCGTTGTTAAGATTAAATTTTTTTAGTAACTTTGATAAAGTTAATTTTTAATTGTTTTAACTTATCAAACAAAACAAGATGGTTTTTTAAATATAATATAATATATATTTCGCCATAAAGAATATTTACAAAATTAGACTTTAAAAACTGTATATACACGGCTGGGGCAAGAAGAAGACAAATTCAGTCTTATCGCCAAGCCCCTTCAAACAAGAATTCAAGTAACAAACAAAACAAAAAACCAAAAAAAATCCGTTATCACAATATAATCATATGCGTAAGGATCATATATAAATACAAATATCTAAATATTTTTCATTAAAATTTAATATTTTTTTTTAGTTTTTTTTTTTTTATTAGGATTTCAAATTTTGATAGTAAATAAAAATGAGATAAAACATGATAATTTAAGAAGGTAAAGATTCAAATTAAAATCAAAAATTAATATGTTAAAAATAAATTAAATATCAAGTAAAAAACAAGTGATTACTCCTATTTAAAAGTTTCAAAAGGAGTCAAGTTCATTGTCAATTATCAAGAGTTTACTTTTTATTTTTTTTTTTAATTGATCAAGGGAAGAAATTTTTTTAAACTTGGAAGAACTAGGAATTTTTTTAAACAAGGGAAGAAATTTTTTTAAACTTTTTAAAAATGGTTATATCAAATAAAATAAGATAAATTTAAAAAAGGAGTCTAAAACTAAAATTTTGACTCCAAAATCAGTATTTTTTCATTCGGCACCTTAATACCGAGATATACCTTGAAATTTTTCGTTTATTTTATTTAGCATTTTGTAAATACCATAAATATATAAATTACTAGATTCGGTACTGGCAGAAAAAATGAAGCTGAGCAAATTTTACCTTGACGACGTAGAGTGAGCCCTAAAAAAAGGTGATACTAATCCACGGAAAATGAGTCTGCGGAAAATTTAGTTGTTATTTGTTGTTAAGTTTAATGTAAACCCGCAATTATAACTATGTATTTAAGTATTAACAAACGGTAAAAACAAATTTTCTACAACACAAATCCGAAACTCAAAAAAAATTGGCATAAGTTATGTGAAAAAAAATCACTTTTTTATAAGTGCTAGAACTTTAAGCTTCTAACTCCTTAGTAGGTTTCCATAAAGTACGGACGAAGCTATGGGGGGAGTCAGAGGTTTAGTCAGGCAGCAATTTGACTCCCTCTTTCCTAAAATTTTCCAATTTGGTTTATAAATGGTATGACAGTATCCCTTTGGATTTTTTACATTTTTTGCTTTTTTAAACTGCCTGTCTTTTAACTAAATAAAGGAAAAGCAGATTCTTATTTTTTATTTTAATGTTTTTAATTTATATATATATATATATATATATATATCGGTCTTAAAAGCATATAGTTGCGTTCAAGGGGGAAGGGGATCTGAAATCAGTGGTTTTATAGCGTAAGTTCGTTACGAATACCCTATTAACATAAAGTATTTTTTGTTTTTTTAATAGAATGCAATATGATTGAGTGTTGGCACCAACTTCTTGACTGAAACTGAGCTCTCTACTACAACTAAATGTTTTAAGGGCTGGATTAAAGGTTTTTGGGGTCAGGTTCATAAAATATATCGAGACTTTCCTTCTAAAAGTCAAAATGAAATAGAGCAAAACAGAGCGGCAGAATCACAACTGCTGTGGCATAATAATTGTATAGTCATTAATTATTTTTATTTATTAGAGTCAATTATTAGTTATGTGTTCTTTTCAGTGTCAATTAATTTTGCACTGAAAAGAACACATAACTAGCAGCGCAAAACTTATACAACTACGGTTACTTACTTGCTATTGCACTTATTATTTTGTTTTATTCTAATTGTTAATCTTTTTTGTCATTTGTATTTAATAATATAATAATAATATAATACATTATATCAAATAAATAATATAATACATTATATCAAAAATAAATTAAAAATAATTGTTTTTGAACACGGCATCTAATAGTAAATAACTTGAATAACTTAAACAAAAAATAGACAATAAATTGTTTTGTAATTGTCTTTTTTTTGTAATAAATTAGGTTATTAA